CATGTGTTCTAACGAGAAGAACCTCCCTTAATTGTGCCCGAAGATGTGCAGTTCCGGATTGTCAAGTTTCGGATCATAGGATAACATTGTAAGTGACTGAGCATTATGAAATTTTTTTTATGACTGCTATAATGCGTATCACATATATTGAGCGTAACTTGGACGTAACTTTAACCTGCCTGTACGAACACGAGGCTTGCCCACGCGCGAGAATGAATTAATGAACTATGTCTATTAGAGGGCTTTTACGCATACAACTAATAAATCGTTAGCGCCAAATAGTGAACGTCGCGTTGTACACAAGCAAGACACCGGAAGCTTGCGTTTCCTACCTCGATATGAAACATATATCTTCTAATATCTTCGTCCCACTTGACGTACCGTTGTAGTTATTAGATTGTTTCATCTGCTTACTTAGCGATGTCAATGAATACGAACCGTTGGCTTGGTTCTTAGAAGAAGAAGAATTTATCTCTGGTCGAACGTTACATTTGAAAGTGCGTGTTTTGCCCGCCTCGTGATCGAGGCCCTCAGAAGAGCCTGAGAGCTGATATGTTCCAAGTCAAGAAAACTTTCTCAGAAAGTACGGCGTTGTCGACCTATCAAAAAAGAAGGTTCCAGCTGACAAGAAACTGCCAATGAGAACATCTAATAGAAAAAATATTAGTAAATCATCTACTTTGGCTAAATGTCATTGTTCAAGCGAACACCCTCATATCGTTATTGGGCAAGATATACTTAGGACAATGTGTCACCGTTTAGGACCTCATTATTACAGTATCTAATGCATTTGAAAGTTTATTGGTCACGTTTGTGCTTATTTACTGATTTATTAGTTAAGTTATGACCTATATCAGATCCCGTTCACCTTATTAATTAATATAATTAACGTTATATTTAAAACAGTGTTAAACTTATATTCAACAGGGAGTCTGTACTTCAAATATGCTAAAATCAATACTATTCATCCCCAGTATGGCTATCTTCCAGCAGATCACTAGATAATTCACCCCCAAAGCCTGCAGATGTTTTCTACTCTATGAGACACGGACATGAGTCTCTTTTTCCTCATTGGTTAGAGCCCAAATAAAGTTAACTTTTTAAGTCATTCTCTTTTTAAGCTTGCACTTTCGTTCCGTGAGGACGAAAAGCCAGGGTCGTTATAAATATTCCACGTTACGTTTACGCATCATTATGTCTGGGGGAAAAGCAAATAAGTTCGCCGCTAGATTAGAATTTGCTAAATATTATGATAATGACTTAAATGGTTTATAGTACAAAACATAGGAAGAGACAGAGGAATAAAGGACTAGCGAGCAAATAAACGTGAGAAACACTGCCCAGTTTGCTAATGCTTCGAAAAGATAAGAGGCTTAACTTGAAGAGAGCGGTCTGATCCGGCCCCTTCGCGTGATCATCGCTAAGAAAAAAAAACTCTTTGTGAGCGAAAGTCACGTAGTGTTGGTCATTGGTTGCAATGAACTTGAAGTTTTCGCCTTAGTCTCTATTTGAAAAAAACTCGAAACCAAATAAACACATTAAAATGTGTTTGTTGCAAAAAAAAAAAGAAAAAGGACTCCTGTATTTACTTCTGTTTCGATTATATTATGTACTAATAAATAATGATAATAAAATAGCGGATTGTACTTAACGTAATGCACGAGTGCGCATCATCCTCAACGAACAACAGCGTTCAAAGACGAAACTGCGACTCCTGTGAGACAAATGGAGACATCAGCTTTACGCTCGCTGCAAAAAATACTCACTTGTCGAAATGGACGTTCACATATGTTTAAATGATATGATAAAAAAAAATACGCTCCCCCACTAGGCATGCGCGATAATCAAAGGAAGTTCCTTTATTTTGTTTCGGTGATAGGGCCGCACGAACTTCTAGTCAGTTCCTGACCTATCAAGCAGGCTAACACCTACAAGAGGCGCTAGCCAATATAACGGCGATTATTTATCAAACAAAACGAATCGTTTACATAAAACTTTGCTTGTAGTTTGAATAAAAAGCTGTTTTATAGCGGTAATCCGCGAAGGGTCAATGGCTCGAATGTTCATTAGGTTGGAAAAGCAGGGTGAGTAATGGATTATTAATATAGCTGTGGACCACTGGTACTGTGTTGGGAAGTCTTGGATTTTAGCCATCGCTGGTTCGCGGAACAGGGGGACTGGTCTCATGAAGAGGAAAACTAAATTTGATACAATTGGACGGACCCTTTTACTCTACATCGCCGATGCCAGCGGCAGTGACAGTAATGGCAGTAGGGGCAAAAATAGCAGGCGCTGGTAATGAAAAGCCAATGAGATGCTTGGCTTCGGCGGTCTGCTTGCTCGCCACGGTGAGCGAGAGAGCAGCCCGCTTCTAGCAGAAAAAGCTATACGTGTTCATTGACGTGTTAATCACTCCGTTTCTTGCCCGTCGTTAGATGTAGGATGTAAAAATATATAAGGCCATACTTTTTCTTGGTGTGCAATATATTCTGCAACTAAATTGTGTCAGTAGCAACACAAGTACTGTTTTAAGGGAAGGTGATCACTTGTTTTTGTTGTTATTATTATATTTGTTTGACATCAAAAACTTTAGATTAGCCAGCCATGTCCATTCTCCTATGTCTTAATGACAGTTCCAATTATTGGCATTGTCTAAATATAATAAAATGGTGATAACGTCCACCTGTTCATGAAGTTCACCATGCGTCCTGTTTTAAAAACTCTGACAAACAGGTCACTTGTATACGTGATGGTCTAGCCGTGTTAGCGAATTGAGCCACGATAGCCAGAAGAATAACACCGTAATAACAACAGCATTGTTTTGTTAAAGGGTTGCCATTACCCGCTGAACTGTTTCTGAAGTTCAAATTTGAAGTTGCGTTGATCAGGACAGAGCTAGTAATATAGACCTTTGTAGATATATATATATTCATAAACACCTTAAGCAGATACCATTACTTTTCCAACCCATCCACTCTGTATCATAATGGCGCGCTTTTTACATCGAATTACAGCCTTCTAAAAGCTATAGTAAGTATGCACAATATTGGGCAACGCATAATTTTATCACGTGTCTATACATACAATATAAACAGCAGACAAACATTACCGAAGGATGAACTCTGACAAATGATTGCCAACTATCGCTGAAAACGTTACAGAATTTGCGATAAAAGTCAAACTTCTACTGCTTCTCATCGTCTTAAATAAGAAAAAATCCTTCTACCAAATTATGCACACGCTTCCAATCATTTTACTTCCATCTGTAGCCGAATAGTTTTGAGTGGAACGTTTAAAATTGTTCATGTATATTAAATTAGCGAAGTAAAAGAGCCTTGAAGGCCGAATGTGCAGGGTCGCTCAAACATTGAAGGATCAATATAATTAGCAGCTCGGAAAATTAATATTGCAGGTTCCATAAACGTTACAAGGAATAAAAACGCGAATCGCGCAACGATTTTCGCATTTCTACAAAAGCCGCAATTACCTTTTCCTATTTTTTTTTGAGTGGCCCGCACGCGCTTAGTTTTCATCAAATCACACCTGGCAACATTGAGGTAAACGGACAAATTTTTCGCTCCGCAAAATAGAAAATGTGTACGTTATTAAGGCATATTTTTCTAGTATCCATTCGCGTTTCTGTTTACCTTGTTTTTTTTTCCAATACCCCTCTCTGCTTCAGTGCGTTGACTGAGATCCGCTGTTTATTCTATTGGGCATATCCGAACTTGTAGTTTACCATGTTGAACTACACCAACCACCATTGTCAATGCAGTTTTACATTAAATCATTTTACCTAATCGCTGGTAAATCGTTATTTAATATCACTGCACGCCTCTCTCATTAGCTCCTCGCTCTTCTCTACAAAATACCCATAGAACAGAATGGTTTTTTTCCTCTTGATTTATCTATAGGTAATATATGCCGTTTGCTTAAAGTCACCTAGCCACGGGACCCATTTGTAGGTGTCCCAAAGAGGTTTTCACTAAATGAGATTAAACGACAGAATATGTCTTACTCAGGTCCATTGCCATTCTTCCATGATTTTTTTACAAGAAACGCTGCAATAACAGCTGAAACGAAAATCGGTATAGTCATAATTTAACAAAGAGTGCGGCAAAGTCAATGTCTAGAGACAGATGTTTTCGAAGCGAAATCTTCGTCAATCTTCAGCTCTGCTTCTCTCTCTCTCTCTCTCTCTCTCTCTCTCTCTCGCTCTCTTAGACAGCTTCAGTGGCAGGAAATTAAGGTATCTAGTTCTTCCCATCTTAAGGACAGTAAAATAAATCACACCGTTTAATCCAAAAATCATTGAGTTAAGTTTTCAAATTCAATATGTAACATCCATACTCCTTCAGCAATGCATCCAAGGAACCTCTTTCTCATTCTTCTTATTGGACAAACAGCCCAGACCATCCCAAAGCTGTATATAAGCGTAGAAATGCTATCTTTTTAGATCCTGCATTGAATACTGACGTTCTATGGAGCGGAATGAATGCTATTGATCAGTGGCTACCTGCGACGGTATTCTATGAATCGGGAAACCAAGGGACATGCGCGATATTTGTATTAGATTAAGCAAAATCAGGCTATAAGACCGATATTTATGAAACTTACGTAAGTTAGGGGAAAATGGCGTAACTTGGCGCTAAGCGCTTGCTCAGATCAAGTAAATTACGCAGTCTGAACGTGTTTCTAATATACACAATAGGTCATCAAAGTTTTGATCTATTAAATAATTTGTCCTCTGATCTGCGACAACGTTGGTCAGGGTCGAACGGAATAATATTTTTTCTGTCTATCATTAAACTAGTAATTCTGTAGGGTATTCTGATTATCATGTGTTTTCAATGTGAGAAAATTATCTACTTTTATTTGAGTTTGTCCAGTGTGTTCATAGGAATTTCCTTTTATACTATCTACTAATCGTTCTGAACGAAAGCCCATCAGCGTCGTTAGCAAAGCCACAGTTAATTTTCTTTAACTTCTATATTGCTTACCTTGTTTTCCCCCCTTCATTTTGTCAGCCCCCACGAGCGTGGTTACGCACAATGAACAATTCACAGATCGGCACACGCTTACAATTATTCGGCAGTGGTGACAATATCATAAATTACACGGCAGTACGAATTAAAGGAGTAGTGAGTACGATCGCAGCAGCGTTCACTAGATACGCCGAGCATGCGGCGACAGAAGAAAGATAAAACGTTGAGCACGAAAAAGAGGAGCAGCAGTAACGTCACTGCAACGGCGAGTCGTAAAGACACTCGTCACAGTCCTGACAGATCCTTCAACGGCGACACGTACACATTTACACGCCCATTTACGAGCACATGCGCCCAAACCCTCAGATATTCATATACACCAACGAGCACAGCAGATGCATGCAACCAGATCAGCAGGTTACCTCGTGCTGACTTATTGGCGATAATAGTCGCAGTTGTCGCTTGTGTCTTCGATAGCGGCAGCAGCAGTGGCGGCGGCGGCGGCGGCGGTGGTGGTGGTGGTCTTGAGGTAAAAATGTTATCGAATAGCCGCGCTTGTCACGCTGTAATACACAGGCAGTATCCTGCACCAGACGAAAAAATCCATTAGTTGCTATCTGTTACATTTGCCATTAGCGCCGAACTGATGTTTCGCTCCGCATCTGTCTGTACTGGGGGTTCACTAGTCTGTCCGCTGTTTTTTCCTGTTCGTCCTTCCGCCTGTCAGTCAGTCAGTCAGTCAGTCGTAGCCGTCGTTGTGGGGCATCGTGTGCCTGCTCTTCGTGCGTCTGCGTGCAGCCGCGTCAGATCAGCCAGGGCAAAGTAAATCAGGCCAGTAGCAGTGCTAATACCGGGCAAAGTGCATCATGTGTATTTTGCTGAGTGTACAAAGAGAGCTAAATATGTTGGCAATTACTGCTACCATCACTGCTTGCCCTGCTCCATCTCTAACTATCCCTGCTGACGTTGTTACTGCTGCTGCTTTTGGTTCTTTCTCGTTACGCTCGTGCTGATATAAACCGTAATTGTATCCAAGTTTCTGTTGTATTTGTCTAGGCTGTTGTTGTAGCTGCTGGTGCTACTGAGATGGGTGTCCGTTCTTTTACTGCTTGGTCCGAATGCACCTGTCGTACGACCGTGCAATCGCAGGGTGCCTTTACGCGCGCGAGCTTCGCGATAGAACGGAAAAAACAGCTTGAGCTGGCCACTGCTCTTTCAAGCTTTACCAGCAGGTCAGCCATCGCCAATCGATAAGACAACCGATCAGCATATTAAGCAGGTAGCATTAGCGAGCCAGCTGGCTAGTTCCCTCGGTGTGCGACAACGGCCCGCGTCAGCAGGGAGTCATGCGCGCGCAGGAAAGGGCCAGCGACAGGCTCTCTTCGCGGCCAGCAGACTCTCGGAACAACGATAGCGACAGAAATAACCGACGGCCGGCCGACGACGACAGTTGGCATCATCATAAAAACCATCGACAGCAGTCTACGACGAAAGACCTCGCAAAGGGCAAGCGGGCAATTAGATAAGCAACCGTCGGCGATAGGCCGACCATTTTTTTGTGTATTTATTCGAACTAAGTGCACTGACGCCGTTGGCTAAGCTGGAGAGAAAAACAGCCTGTTGCATTAGGGACTGCGGCTGCTGATGGTAATTTGTACAACCGGCTAGATGGATGGATTGTCGGGGGTGTATAGGATTGATTCATGAGCGAAACCCAACGCAGTGGAAAGGGGTTTTCAGGAATGAAGGGCCATGGTAATGATGATGCTCCTGGAATTGCTAATGATCAAGGGTAAAGCTCGACGGGGTTCAGAAAAAGAGACAACCAACAGGTGGGTGCACTAGTTCCTTTTGCCAGTTCCCCCTTACGTAACAACAATAGCATATGTAACTGTAACACAGAGAGGACAAGGCGAGGCAGACTTGTAACGGATTTGACTGGCTATAATAGTCGTCCTTACATCATCAGCAGTGCGCACTTGACGTATGGCTATGTAAGAAAATATCAGGCACATAATTAGGGAGGACTGTAGGAAAACCGGCATGGCGCGTATAGGCCGGGAGTGTCCTATCCTTCTTGTACTGAACAGACGGACGAGAATAAATTACATAAGAGGAATCCAACCTCTGTTATCTCAGAGAACTGTGAGCTCAAACATATTCACTTCAATTCAGATCTATAGCTATTCTTACAAGGAAAAAGAGCAGAAAAACTTGTCAGGAACTGTTTTGGAATGGGGAATAAAGAGTTTGAAGCGATTCATTAGCTTTATTTATGCACAGCTTCTTTTGCCTCTTTTGCCAATGCCTCTTGTTAATAAGAATCATTTGAGTGAGGTAGAAGGAAAAAATATTAGGTTCGAAACATCAGCGAGACCGTATGAGGATAGGGTGAGTATTGGAAAATGCAAAATCTGGCCACCACTAAAATACACCAGTTGTATCCTATAAAAAAAAACTGACTTAGTTAACACAGTTGTGCCTATGTAACACCCCGGCAGTGCGGCGGACTCAAATAAATCCTTTTGAACGGAAGCAGATTTACGACAAAAAAAACCCTGGTACTATATACGTTTCCTTATATCCAGCAAAGAAGTCGGGCCTTCTTTCGGACGTGAGGTAGCTCGATTTAAGTGCTTCTTAACAGGTACGCTCAAATGGTCATATTAATCGCGATAAACATACAGTGATAAGCGTGACTAACACAGGATACTAGATCTTCTAATCTGTTAACAATTTCTCAAGGCAGCTGTCTCTACACTCTACACTCTATAACATGTTGTACGTCCCATGGTGGAAACTAGACGGTTAGCGCTTGGCTTTTCAAATATTAAACTAACAGATTCTTTGCCTTTTTTCTCACCTTGGAATAACCGCTTATCCAGGTTTCCTGCTTTATAGTATCACGTGTTGTGCTATACGTTGAGCCACTCTACACCTAATAAAGTTTTTGTCGTAAGATCAAAGCTTTCTTATGTATTTCTCTAGCTTGATCTAGCGTGATTTATAAACATTTATATGAGTTATTATACTCTAGTGTCTTATTGTATCTGCAGGGTTTATTCCCTATTCCCCTAAAGGGACCACCGCTACATTTTTCAACGAACTCAATATCAGCTAAAATCTGTATATTTTTTGTTCTGTGGTACCGAGTGAAATTTCTACGCCCTGTTTGCTGTGTGCAACCAGGACGAGTCCGTCTGTACGCAATAATTCTGCTATTTTGAGTCGTTTTTCAAAAGTTCCGATACTAAACGTTGAATCATTCAACATAACTTGTCAGTTACTTTTTTAAATTTACTTTACGGCAAAATCTCGGCGACATCTGACAATCCTGATTTAATGCTTCGGCCATAGCGAGTTATTCAAATTCATGTTCCTCGTGGTATGTAGTCTAGCGAGGTTCGAACCGTGTTCGTATAGTGTTTAGTAGAGTTTTTAAGTACAGATTTAACGATATGACCACTTGTACATCCACCAAGTATCTACCGTTTTTCAGCCAGGGGTCGTTGCAAATATTTCTGTGTTACACAATAATATAATCAAAGTAAATATGCGTTATGTTGATCGATGACGTTCTGTCATTTTTCTGATAAAACCATAATCTCATTTCCGTAGAACTTCTGTGATTGTTGGGCGAAAATTGGTGCCAAGTGATTTGTGCGTATTTTCGTTGAAATTATACCAAGAGAATTCTGCAAAGAAACAGATGATGATTGTGATCTTGGTGCAAGATTCGGGTACACAGCTATACAGGGTAAGTATTAAGATTTCTCATTTAGCTTCCCTAAATTTTGGTCGAGTAGCTAGAAATGTGTATGTGGTTTTACGTTGTCATGGTAGAAGGTGGTACCTATTCTGTTCGTTGGTTTCGGTCGATTGTTTTCAATGTTCTGGTCTAGAGTTGTTGACAGTCGATCTCCGAATCAGTTGTTTCGCCAGACGAGAGCGTATTCGTCATACATCACTATTCACTCCTAATCCCGTCCAAATATATAACATCATTTCTTTGAGGTCTGTCTGGACTTTCCAACAAATTGCGGAGTATATTTTTTCAGCTTTTTTTTATTTGCACATTATTGTCAGCAAGACACACTTTATATCACCTGTGACCAACCGCTTTGAAAATGGTTTGATTTCATAGCGTTTCTATAGGGTTTCGCAGGTGGAAACACAATAGGATAACTTCGTTTGCGTCAACTTGTGCGGCAGACAAACGTCAACTTACTTTGTAGCCAGCTCTATTCAAAGGGCTTACAATTTGGCGGTAGCATGAGTAGTCGGTGTCGATAACGCCTAACTTCCACAATAATTCGTCAACTATTTCTGTAATGTAACGAGAAGCATCATTTATAACGGAACTTCATGAACAAAGATCAGGACTATCGTTGGGCTGTTTTTTTTCCCATAGTGCATCTTGACCGTAAACGGCATAATTTTCTTGTATGTCCAGGCAGCATTTGTGCATTCGTCGTAACAACACTGTAAAATCGGACAAATTTTCGCAGAAATTTCACGCCTCTTTGAGGTGCTCCATTTCATGTCCGGAAAAAGGCATTCCAATAATTGAAGTTCGTGTACTAGTTAGTGCCAGATCTCATCGTTTAAATGTTGCTAATGCCGGGTTGCAACCGCGACCCATATTATGGACTTTTTCTTTCATATGCGCTCCAAAAAATTTTGTTCACAGGACGTCCGGATGCGTAAACTCACGGCTTCGCCCACTGAACCGCAGTGCGTGCAATCCGGCCAGTTTTCTTCTCCATCGGAATTTCAAGGCTTCTATCCCCCGTGTCCCACCCTATGTAAGATAGGTAGGTCATGGGGGTAGCTAAGGCGTAGAAATGACTGCTGTTGTATATAACGAGATTTTCAGGAACAGTCGTCTACCTTTTATCCGTTACGGAAGGTTGGCCAATAGAAAGGTGAACGATTGAGGACCGAGGTTGGCGTTGAGAGCGAAACCATTTGTCTATAGGGGAGGCTCATGTCGTGCCACGCCGTCGCCTGTTCTCTTAACGTTGGCCAGTAGCATCCAGATTTGAGGAAACACGGCATAATTTTTTCGCGTACTCGCATTCGTGATTCCGAGCCGAAGTAAGTCGGAAAGTTAACGAACTCATTATAGACAAACATACGTGCTTTTCTTTGCGAGGTTCTTTTGGACGGCTTCCAAAAGCACTGAATAGGCGGGCATGGTGGGTCGTCTTGCGCGAACTAAGTACTCGTTTTGTGACTGGTAGATGGGTCTGGAACGTCTAAAAAGAAAGGAAGCCAACAATGCAGCTATACTTTTTCTTAACGGCTCTATTTGGACATACATAATTACATAGATAAATAATACAGATAGGTAATTGAGGCGTTATAAAGATGTTCACTGGTATAATTTCGCTAATCTGATATTTTGCATACACAATACGCAAAAGAATATTTCAGACGAATTTTCTAGCAGTTATTTAGTTCACTAGAGCATCTGGCCTGTTGTTTTCTTCAGTCCTCATCCTCATTTCGTATTGTCCTTTTCAAATAAATGCTTACACTCGGATACATTTGATATCTTTATTGTTTTACAAATGCTTTTAAATCACGACGAAAATATTATTGCTTCGGCAGTGCCTACTGCGGTTTATTGTCCTAGGAATCTTGACCCTATCTATATTTGCACGGATAGCCTAGGATGCACTATATGAAAAGGCGGCAATAATATGCTATGGTGGTTTAGATTTATCATATCGGTTGCTTAAAAGATAGAGGCATACCAGAGTGTGCTAACTTGGACGAAATGATTGGCCTATTAGAAAGACCGATCTCTGACCATCGATATAACCAATTAGAAAAAATCGAAATTATTCCATCGGTCTAACAAATCAAAGCGTATCTGTTCGGCTGTTGTGTAGTATTAGCCTATATGTTTCTGTTATTGCAAGCATGCAGATCTGCAACGATCAATTAGGTACTGTCCGATAGGAGAGAGTGCAGACACTGGGTGCAGTGTGATTCCTGAATAGGAACCACAAGAAAGCCCGATAATTGATTCGATGAATTGAGATAAAAGCAAAGTGGGCTCCCGCCGAATTCAACAAGTGGTCATCCGCAAGCAAGGAAGAGGACGACGACGACATTTAAATACAATATAAATCGGTAGATACTATTTGAATAGGGCCGCTGTTAATAGAAACCTCGACAATGAAATGCTATAGAATCACCCCAGGGGAACACAGGTATTGTAAGATGTCTTCAATGGACATGCAGTGTCCAACCAGACGCGAAGTATTGGGCACACATTATTGCAACTTCTATGTAACAATTAATGGCGACGATCATGTACGCGCATGGAAACCTATTCCGTGTTTCGGCAGACGATGCACGATAGTGGCGATAACTTAATTAATTATTGGCTGCATTGTTCCGATGCAAATGTTGAAGATGATGATGATGATGCTCGTTCGGGCACCGCTAAAATGATCCGCCGTCTAAGCGAAAGCACAAAACAGATCGTCTCATTATTTCGAGTCTTTCAATTTTCGTACCAAATATACCATTATCAAAAGTAAAACTTCAGACCTGCAAGAAGCGTCATGAAGCGAAGTTTCCCCACTGTGGCTAAAAGTGATCTGTTTACTTCTATTTCGCGTACCTGCTTAGCATTAGAGTGCCTACAGTATCGCGTTTTCAGTCTATTTATGTTGAGGCAATTCGCATCTTAGGATTAAATATAAACGTCTACAGGAAGGATCCCATAGGACACTGCCTGTAGTTCTTAAACGGTAAATATCCACTGAAGGGCTACGCGAAAGAGCTTAATAATTAACATGTTTTCAGTTAAGTGAATATCATAACAAGTTTAAAAATAATAACAAAAAAGTCGCACGTAGGCATCTGTGGAACTTTGTGTGGCCTTTCTATCACAAACGAAAGTGGGCCAAAAACTTCCATTGACGATGCTTGTTAAATCACGTTAGACCTGCGTACACTGACTTTCGGTCATACAAGAGCTTGCTTAAATCACAATAACTAAATTGCGAAGTAAATAGTCACTAACGAAAAAATCAACTTCATACACACAAACAAATTTCTAAACTCTACCTCGCCATTAATATCCTTATGAAGAATTTACTTGGGGATGCTGAGGCTTCGTTAGCTGCCAAAGCTTTCGACGGTGAAATTTATTCAATTGATACAATTTTCATCTGTACGAGATGTTCAGTACATTCTCAAAATGAGTATGGTGCAGGGCAATTCTATAGCGAATATAGGTATTATTACCTACTCTTTACCACTTAGGTGTTTGAGTATAAAATTAGTCAACGATTGATTAGTCAAAAATTTTATTTGGAACCAATAAAAGGGCTAGAACGCTCGCAGATGAAAACTAGCCCCGTTTTTTACGGTTGGCATCTGTAATTAGATCGACGAATTCTAATGAGGTCATCTAATCATAAACTATAATGTATAGTACCACAAAAAATGTAGAAAATAAGCCAGATATATGTCTCGAAGTGTCGACTCGCATCATAACTGCGAGTGATAAAGATCAGTAACTAAGGAAGAGTAAACAGATAGGAGGATCAGCGTCTGCTGCGTTCTGTAACAGCGGTTTTCTGGTCGACATTATTCTCGCTACTTCTTAAGGTCACAGGAAGAATAGGCCTTTGCCATACTGGCTTTTTACTTTGCATCCATCGTTTAAGGGGCTTAGCCAAAAAAAGTAATCGCTTAGAGCCAATACTTAGCACTATGGTAATTATTTGAGTTCACTAAACTCTTTTTTCAATTCAATCGTATTTTTTCAGTATGGTGTCGTTGGACCTATCTCACCGGCGCAGGCCGGCTGATCGCATATCACTAGTTCATTGTTTCGCACCGTCTCTCAGTAACCACCAGATCAATTAAATTTCTTGACTAGCGCTTTGTTTTGGAATGAATTGTTGGTGAATGTCTAATTTTAAGAAAACGTCCCATTCTGCGCAAGCAAGCCTCCGATCTGACGTGTCTCATAAAGATTTGCTGTACTCTTCGTTCTACTTCAATTAGAAAAATTAAGATGTCTGCCGGTATTTTACTACTCTTAAAAGAAGAACACTCATCCATACAGTTAGTTTGTAACAAATCGAATCTAAAGTTCCTAAAGGCACGTTTCCAGTTTTTTGTCCCTTCCATATCGTGCACCAAAGAAACGGTGCTAATAGGCCTGTCATTGTATTTGCAAGTGGTGTATATACGACATATAAAACATATATGATTAAATCAAGAAGACATGTTTTCTAGTTAAGTATTCGTGTTGTCATCGCAGCGACGCTAAGAAATAGCGTGAAGAAATTTTTCTTCAGGGATAGATTCTACTATGTAGAGAAATCAGATATTTCGTGTAGCAGTACTTATCATGCGGTATTTTTTTATTCTTGCTATTTGTTGACAGTTCCTAGGAGACTTAGAACAACTACGGCTCAATAATGACCATTTTCAAGGAGCACGAAGTCGATACGACGCAACTACGAATTATACGCAAGCTAATATTAACTAAATAAGTTAGTGTAAATAACTTTCGAAACTGTCAGTTCAGCGTGCCTTAGCCAACACATGAGATGGCACGGAGGACAAACTCGAAAAATTTCATGTCGTCGGAAATGTTTAGAAAATATGGCACAAACTTCTAATATGATCCAAAACTATACAGCACCGCGAAATTTACGTTAATCTGCCACATCGTAAATGCCCAAACTTCAAAACGAATAGGTTTGATAAACTTCTCGACCTAAATAGATGTTTGAACTAGAAGCATTTGCCCATTTGTCTCACGCCCTACAAACGTTCTCCATCAAACTTGCGTACCCACAGTCTCTACGATCCGTATTTAAAATGGGGTTCGATAATAAGGAAGAGGCCTATTTATAAGTCTCTACACAAATGTAGCTTCTTAAAGTTATCCTGATTTATGTTGCCAGAGGGAGGGAAGCTGTATTTTGGGGTTTTATGTGGCGTAATGTATTGCTTAGTCTATCTTAACATTACCCTATCGACATTTGATTTTCTCCAGGATTTACTATTCTACAATTGCCTTTAGAATTTTTTCTAAGGACGAAACCCCACAGTGCCGGTATCTCCGCAATGAGCAACGCTCCTTTTTGTATAATGTAATAATGCCTTGTGTGTGGGTGTCCACTGACATTCTGGCAAATTAACACTTGCCTTCAGATATATACAATTAGAACTACTAGTTGCCTCTTTCGTACTTACTGCTCAGCTTCATATATTCATGCCTATAGCACCGACTACTAAGTTACGAGTGTTACGTTCAGCAAAACTGTTTTCGCAAATTCGTACCTATATTATGTAATAGCGGTTTCGTTCAAATGTTCCGTTTCTACGTTATTTTTCTATTACGTATTTGCTTTTACATATACATATCACCCGAGAATGTTGTGCTTTCATTGAGCACCGAGTTAAGTTTTAGCTAGAGCTCAGGCTTCATAAATAGATGCTCCTGATGGGCAGTGCGTAATTATAATGACAGGCTACTCCACACAATTGTTACGGGTGACAAAAAGTGTACATATGAAACAGGGAAGAGGGTAGGCAGCTCCGGGTGATACGAATTAGCTTAGAGTTAAGCAAGATTTTCACACCACAAAGGTTACGGTTGACATTTAATAGGACTAAGAGGGCCTTATACACAGAGAACTGCTTAAGAAAAAAGAGACGGTCAAGAAGGATCTGTTTATGACTTAGTCACACTGAAGTATTTACCAGCGTAAATCCGACAGGGTAGACAAAGTCATTCGTGTCTATGGCAACACCAAGTTACACATAGTAGAGGTCCTTTAAGCTACTCTACAAACGACGATCTTTCGCAGCCATCATATTCGACGGACTTGGTGCCGACCGATTACATTCTTATCCGACCATTGACGAATGGGCAACGAAGAGGGTCTCAAAGACCGGCTAGACGAGCTTTTCAACCGAAGACTTTTGACGAGAAGGAGTAAATAAATTGGTCGAGAACTAAATAAAGGTCACAGCCAAACACGATAAAAAAAGATTTGTCGGAAAAATCATAGTGAGATTCTAAACTTTTCGTTGACTTAGAAAATAAAATAATTCAAATACATTGTAGAATTATACGATAGGTTGGTAAATAAGTAAAGATGCTCTTTTACATAACAAAAGCCTAACGTTTTATTCCAATCCTAGCAAGAAATTAATCTATTATTTACTTGCCGTTACACTCAGCGCCCATTTTTTGTCCTTCTTATTAGAAATTTATGTCCGGTGGTAAAGAAAATCGTTCAGGCAGGTTTTGATGACTTCTACAGTGTCAAATGTACATTTACTAATTTTATACGCCAATGAAGTGTAATTGTGGATCATATGGTGGATACGTTAACTTTATAACTCTCACATTTTTGCCATCGATTTTTTGGGATGAAAATTCGATCTAACATAAGTCTCATGTTTGAGCCCTGGAGCAAACCCTCAGTCTCATTTAAAAACTCCTCGCTGTACATACACCACGACAAAAGGATAAGGAAATGCACTTTTCACTTCATTTTAATGCCTGAACTAATGTAAAATTCCGTAATTTTATTAAACGATGAAAGAAAGGAGTCACCACTTTCGAATGGTATAAAAAAAATGAACACGTAATGGGGCGGTGGTAGGACAAAAGCACTTAAAAAGCAGCGTTTACTTATATGCTAATCTAATTAAAAAAAAAAAAAGACGGAATAGTAATAGAACTCGCCCAAAGTTGGCTTGATTATTATTTACGTGTCTTAACATGTTGTTCTGTATTCATACTGCGTTCTATGGGCCCTACTAACCTACCAAGTAAGCATGGCATAACGTTTGTGCAAGCGCTTCGCGCAGGTATATGCCTTTTTGTTTTGCGTCGACGTTAACAAACCACAATGCCATATATTGTAGCTGATAATCTTGGTTGAACTTTTAAATAATTTACAGCATCTACGGTGAATCGCGCGTAATAGTCTTGGGACTGTAAATTTTAGGTATATATATATATATTCTAGCTCTGTTTCGTTTTTGTAAAAATGTTGTTTATGTCGACAATAAATAACAAACCTCTGTGGACTACTTCGAGTCGTCAATAGTGCGACAGGAATTTGTTTTAAAATAAATACAATTTCATATTTACTTAGCTCCACTGAGGCGGCCATTTTAGTGTAGTAAGTGTTTGGGGGATTTGGTTGGCACCTCCCTGACCATTTCCTTTTGCCATCTGACCTGCAGGTAGCACGGGCCGACCAGTTTCCTTGCGAGCCATCTCGTCAACCATAGCGATTACAGCGCTGTAGCACTCCTCACTTGTTAGTGCGATCTGACTAGCGGGCAGCATGAAACCGAATCGTCCTTTATCCCGAAGTTCGATTGCATATGCATACTTTATACCACCGCTTTCATGAGCCCAATCGGCGGCCCCTCCCGCAGCAGCCAACAATAACTGTTGAATGGTGCCAACTTCGTAATGCACACCAGAAAAGGCGCTGATCGCTCTTTGCCCTGCTCGGGCTATCTGAAGTTGATCGTTGTAGAAACGTGATTGGATGCGAGGCCCACTACCGTATGGAAGCATTATTAGCTGGCCGTACGAGTGCAACGTAAAGAACATCTTGACCTGTTTATCTAGGGATTGAATTCCATTTCTAATGGCTTGTGACTCAAGTTCGGAGAAGGCTTGTGGTCCACGATAGGAGTCCGAGCAGACGTCGCCATTGCTACCAGTACCAGCAAAATCGTAACCGAAATTACGGTTTGGGTCTACGCCCTGGCAGCTGTATCCCTGAAAGCGTACGCGATTCTTCCGCCACATCCTATCACCGCTCCATGTTCTCGCATAACCGTCTGCATTTAGTAACGGATAGATATGAAAATCATATAAAGAAACCAAAGCACGAGCTGTGGGGTCTGATTTTGCACCAGTTACGAGTTTGTTAATTATGTAGAGGCTTGTAGCCGGTGATATCCACTCACGTGCATGTATTCCGGAATCAATCCAGATCACAGGCTTGTCCTTCCCCCCAGAACTGATCTTCAGACCTGTTAGAAAAAAAAGTGCAACCTATACTTTAATTTTCGTTTGTCTGAGAAAAATACTGCAACTTCTTTTACGAAACGAATGTTGATAATAACGATACAATGTACGATGCATATATCATCTATATTTATTTTATTCACCTTTAATCTGTCGCCCCTCGTACGTGGATCCGATGTTACTGACCTGCGCGACGTCCGAGTATCTGTTAGCTATGGCATCAATATAGGCTGAAATTTCATCGTACGAATGGTACTGATTTAGATTAAATCGGGAAGGGTCACTTCCTAAAAGAAACAGATTTTGTTGAGGGTTTTCGATTTTCTCGTGATCTATCCACGCTTGAAGATTTTTGGATGCGACGGTATACGCCACTTTATGTTTTTTCAAAATTTCCTTCACTGGGTCAGTAAACTCCGGCGGCACACGAATGGACACGTTTCTCATCACAAACACTGGGTTCCAAAAATCTAACGAAGAGAATTGCTCTTTCAGGTGTTCTAGACCCTCTTTTTGATGCTCACTTTCTATTCTCGCCACGAACAGATGATGGTTAGTATAATTTTTTCTTTGGTCGCCATCACCTGCGTAGCCGATACTAGCTTCATCATACGGAACAACTTTAGGGATACTGTCAATACGCACTGCTCCCATTTGCATAATAGCCAAACGGCAGGCTACAAATGTAAGTGCAAGTCTAACGGACATTTTCTGTATTTTAGCTACAAATTCACTCAGTGCACTGGTGCAAGATGGCAGCGTGTCTTTATATACCCCGTTTAACTGACAGACGGATTATCATATCGTACACTCACCTTCGGAGAGGCAAGCTACATAGCGCCGGGGGATCGAGCCCTTTTCCTGTTTACTTCCCGATGGCCTGAACCGCGTTTGTTATCTTCTGAAGATTTCCTGAATAGATAATGCAGCGATGACGGGAAAACTACGGTATAGCGTCGCCAAATATAACGATATAATATTCACTATCACAATGTTATATGGAAAGTAAGCCCATATAACAATTGGAGCGTATGTATATATAGCGCTAGACTAGATATATATATATATATATATATATATGTTAACTCCGTATTTACGGGTACTCAGTGTATGCACGGCTTTTGAATGTTAGCGTTTTTTTTGGTCGTTTGAAACCACGAAATTTAATATATTTGCTCATTAAGTACATAATTTTAGGATGAAAACGTTTGTACGGTGCGATACTGTAACGTAGACGGTATCAATATACTGTGTACCTAACGCAAGACCATTTGATAGTTATCTTGAATTGGTTCAAGATCCTTAAGAAGGATGCCGCCGGAGCGTCGCGCAGTTCATCTATGTAGAAACATAAAGCATCTACTGCTACGTAAGTGAATAGTTTCTCGATCTATTTAGAGATGTGCCAAATAGATACTAAACGGATTGTACGTTTGGTAAAAAAAAATTATCGGATAATATATAGTAAACGAGCAACGGTGAACATCCTAAGCTCCGTTTTTCTTAAGAACCTAAAAATATAACCGTTTTATTTAATCAATTTTTATTGAGAAAATCGACACCATTTCTTTTGGCTTGTGCTAGCTTCCGGTAAATGTGGTAGTGTTACTTTTGGAATATTTTATAAATATCAGTTACTCGCTTACTACTAGCTCAATCTAGTTAGGCAAAAGGGCCTTCAATGTAGTTAGGTTCGACATTTGATTTTGTTAAGACAGGCAACCGCTTATATGAATTATTGCTAGCAGTTGGAAGTGTAATTAGTTACAGAAGAACTTGGCATATACGATGCGCGATGCTGGTGCCGGAACAGTCAGTGTCTTCTCATACCCCTTTTTTTTTTTGTTGTTCTTTACTTACCGTGATAGGTTGACAGAGGGTGATTTTGTTCAGAACAGAGAGAAAGCGTTTTTTAAGGATTCATCAACAGTTTCGAAGTATTATTTCAATTTTTGTAATCAATGTCACAAAAAGGACCAGTTTTCAAATTTTTAATATAAACCCAAATCATCTGGTTATGTTTACACTGTGAGGTTTTGTCAAATAATGATAAATATAATGAATAATAAAAATGACGTTTTCATTTCTACGAATAGTAGTTGAAAGCAGTTGGAATATTCGCGGTTTTGTAAAGGTAAGTTTCATTTAAGCATTTCCCACTTGAATCGACAACTTTAGAATATAAACATACGGTACATTGCTAAACCGGTTTCAATTTATTCCCATAGTTGTCGTAAATCGGCGTATCGATAGCGTGAGTCACGTTTAACCATACAAGGGTCTTCTCATGTATTTGCTCTAAGATAGCGTAATCAATATAGATGCTTATTGTGGTGGGTAAAGGATAGTCCGGGCAAACACTCGAAATTTGGAGTACTTTCAGGGGCTATGTTCGTTACTCAAAGATTTACTCTGTTTCGCCCAGTCTGGACGGTCGACTATGCCGCAATAGTTTCTCCTTGAAGTTATTCTTATCGACCAAATGGCAGTGGCTAAATGAATCGACAAGCTCATTGTCAAAGCTGAAATGGATTTCCGTAATTTTCGTCTACGAGAAATCATGGACAAATTCTTGTGACTTAACAGCGAGGGACCAAACCCTGCGATGTGCCGAACGACGTAAATATCAATATCCGGCATAAGGTAGTTTTTGCGGCATCCTTCGCAGTATTCTTTAGATCAGTTTCAGGGTCCTCTAAGATAAACGGGAAGATCTGCAGCCGGATATTATCTCTAGTTCTTGATTACTGCTACACAAGAACAATTTTAGTAAATGAAAACAATTGTTTTCTAAATAGTTCAGCGTCACTGATGATCACTTCGCTTGAGCAGATGATCTCAGATTTTATTGTTCAAGCAGCGATATCCAATTCGCGATATTTCGTCGACGGCTGAGTATTACAAATAATCCCTTCGCAGCTTATGAACTACTTTGTGACATATGCTCTTATCGTGAGCAGCCGCTGGAAGCAAAGCGGTCTTCTGCACGTGTTTAAAGGCCTTGCACGTTGGGCGCTATGCGGTGAGTCTGAATGTTTTGGTAAAAATTCTAAACGAAGCGAAACACTAACGGCTCATGTTTATGTTCGTTATGTCGCTCAGTGGTCGTTATCTCGAAACATACAACAGTTATTCTCACGGTTCTTACATAGCTATACAGCGAAATCGAAGTTTTACCAAGTATACTTTGTACTACTTTGAGCGCATGGCTATGATGTAGTAACCACATATCTAGAACAGCGCATCTTACGTCTATGCTACACCGATTTCGCGTCGTTACCATACACACCTATGTATTCACTGATTGAGTTGCTATATAAGATGCAACACTCCGGCCTGCTACCGCCTAGAAAAGTGTAACAACAAAAAGGGAGTAAAGACTGGATACGCTGGACAAACAGTTTTAGTGTGGGAAATTGTCTCCAAAAGGAACACTTAAAAACCCGACCGACACATCTCTCTCCATTGAAAATCGTACGCATCACTTAAATGTCGCATTTTACTAGAGTGCGCAAAAACCAGAGGCAGATTGTGTTGAAAAATCTCAGTATATTAGCATTCTCCGGAAAGGTGGGGTTCATTGTTGGAAGAAAAATACCTTAGGTAAATGTATCGATACCGTCTAGCTACGCTTAATAATAGAATGTTAAATAAAGTGACAGTGGTCGTTATGATATATGTTCACATAGACATCAACGTTGTGACTTATTGTCCGTAATATTTCTCATTTTCCCTGGAGAAGAACTTTTTCCTGACGGCGAAGAATTGCATGTGGAACAGGTTTGAAGACAACAAAATGAACCGACAATAGGCGTATTGCTCGCAGGAAGAAATGTAATAAAGTGTACGCTTTCTGGTCATAGGTGGAATGTGTACTTAGCCACATCAATACCCATAGTAGCGCATTGGCGCGGCGTCAGAATTCCTGTTCTACAGTGTGCGCTAGTTCATTAATGGCGCTCAAAACGCTACATGAGCAACAATAGGCGTCGACCCAGCAGCCATAGCCGGCAGTGTCACATGACAAGACCTGCCCCACTACCGCCTCAACCCGACCCACGTAACTCTTTAAATTCAGGCAGCGCTTCCGCACACTAGGGGTTCGAAGATGTATAACTTAGCAATTTGGAAGTCCTGAATCCTAATTTTATAGCAGTTTCCAGTACACCAAGCACTTTAGATCAACTATCATCGTTTCACACACATAATAGATCAGGGACACCGATGCCTGCTAAAGCTGTCATTTCTGTAAAGTCACAGTAGGTTATTACTTGGCACATCAGTGAACTGATCAGAAGAAACTACTACGGGTACTAAAAAATTCTGTCTTTTCTATTCTAGAAGCCTACATTTGTCCTTATTTGTATTACGAAAAAATTTGGGCGTATACTTGAACGCCTATGCGATATTTTCAGCTTTAGTACTCCTACAATGTCATATCTAAAGATACTTTTTGTACACTGAGTTAGAGGATAATATCTAAATTGTAATGCGAGTTGTTTCCTTGCATATGTTAAACCTTCCGTAATGTTGCATATAGATCATTGGTAACTAAACAGAGCTAGCTTTCGAAAAGTTCGACTCATTAATAGAAAGCTTGAATTATCTATTCGCACGTATTTCGAAGTAACGCATCAGCAGCACCGACAAGCTTAGAAGATTAAATTTTTACAGACCAAAAAGCATTTTAGGGGTTAAAGAAATGTCGACTAGTTTCTAGAAGTACCGATTTGTTTAATCTAAGTTGAGTTTTAAATAAGTAAGCACTTTAGAAGCGCTTAAGAGAATTCTCAGTGTTTCTCGTGTATCGAGTGCTACGGTCTAATTTCCATATTAGCATATATGCATGTAACAGCTATGACAGGTTTACTCTTACTTAGGCCTGAAGAATACTTGGTAGATATATGGATTTGGAATAGTTCTTTTTACAGGATTAACGACGGAACGCACTAGGTTTAACATTGGTGCATTTTGTCATTAAGAGGACTTGGATCGGTTTCAAAAAGGAAAAGAAGAGTTTTTAAAAAGATCTGACGCACCAATTAGCCTCATTGAAGCCAATCGCAATCGATAAAAAAGTATATAAAGCACCGTTAAACAGAGGAAAAGCCCAGACATTGCTATCGGAACTACCTACAAGTTATCTGCAGGACTTCTGCTACAGTGTATCGTAAACTTGGGAATTGGAACCTTTTAGATTTAACTTGACCATTTTTTCAAGTCTCGAGGTGTCGAAACTCTTCAGGATTCTAAGTTGTCCATTCGGGTAGGCTATCGTCGAATCTGTCACCTGGCGATAGGCAGCTGAAGCTGTGCATATTGCATGCTAGCAGAAATAAGGCCTACGTCAACCATGCACATAATCATTAGGACATCAAATCAGGGCGGCACCGTGGTTCTTGAAAAAAATCCTTTCTAGCGAACTCGCTAGCATTCTATTATAAGAAAATTGGCATACTCAGTTGTATAATGTTGCAAATTGATAGAATTTATTGGTTCGATGATCGAAAACTACTGCGCAAAGTGACGCGCTAACTGGAGTAGGACAAAACCTACATGCCAGCACAACTGGAATTATACGATCCCTAGCCTTACTTTGCGTTACTCTTCCAGATTTCGCTTTGGGAAGGCTAGCTACGACGAATTTGGAACCCTCATGGACGTAGATTATATACTTACGAATGATAGTGTCAAACGTTATGGCAGAACTAAACGCGCGATATGCGCA